GAAAAATCCACTCCACACCAAGGTTTTTCGTGGCACGCCTTTGTTTCAATCCCCAGCCCTGGATGCAAGACGAAATCTGTTTCCAAACCTCCATACCCGCCGATGCCACCACCCCCTTGTCCTTGGAGATCACTTAAAACATGTTCTGGAGTTCCTGAAGGAGGAAGCCCTCAGCCCTGCCGACCCGACTGCCCAGGTCCGCCAGGGCCCCTATGCCGAACGCCCACCACGTTAAAGACACGGATACTCGGCCAATGGAGGAGCCTCGCATCGACTGGCACCAGGAGGATGAGTTTCATGAGGGAGGTCGCGTACCCACACCCTGCGAGGATCCCCTGGCCCGCATCGATCACGCCCGAGGTGACCTGGCTCATGAGGGGGGGCTTAGGCGCCTGATACACCCGAAGCAGAAGCCTAAGTCGGATGAGAGAGAACCCGTGCCTCACAGCCGCCTGGGCCAACAGAAAGTGCAGGACCTTTTCGCAGGCCCTGGTGAGGCCCACAAGAATAGCGCCAGTCCCGACCCCAAGGAGGTTACCAAATTCGGCGGCTTGCGCTTGCCCCCAGACAGCTCGCTCGCAGCTACGGCCCGTGGACCAATAATGGTACGACCGCCCCTGACCCTCCTCCCAATCGACAGCATCCCGACGCGTGGCTTTGTTCATGACTCGGCAGATCCCAGGTTGCAGCCCGATGGGCCTGAGCCCCCTTCGGGCTTGGGGAGGAGCGCGGCGAACGCCAAAGCGAGCTGGATCGGGGCGTGTCCGATGGATTCGCACCACGCCCAAAGTACACACAAGGCCTCGAGGGCCCCGCCCGACACCCGGCTGAGATCCCTCGGGTGGGCCCCGTCAGAGCCGAGGGCGGCGCGTAGCTTGAACTTTCGCGCAGCAGACCCGACGTCGCCCGCGCTCAGCGCGCGCGGCTGCTGCCCAGTAGCGCGGTCGCCCCGACCAAGCCCAGCAATCTGGCGGTCGCGGTAAGCAAACGGGCCAGGCAAGCGACTGGCATCAAGTGGGGGGCTCCAGACCTCCCCCCTAACTTCTTGCATCTGCCCCATGAGGGCCCCTGGCCCTGGGGGCGCCCGAGATTCGGTCTCTTTACAACCAGAACAACCACTTTACAACCATATGGGTTACTTTACAACCAACACAGGATTGGAAAGTATGGTTTTTCATCGAGAACGTCCACTTTGCAACCAGAACGGCCCACTTTACAACCAGAACGGACCACTTTACAACCAGAACGGGCCACTTTACAACCAGAACGGACCACTTTACAACCAGCTCAGAGTGGCCGTGCGTGTTTGGGCGTTCCGCAAAGTGCTCCAGAGCAAGTGGGCGCTCTGAAAAATGCCCCAGAGCAAGTGGGCGCTCTGAAAAATGCTCCAGAGCAAGTGGGCGCTCTCAAAAGTGCTCCAGGGCGCGCGGACGCTCTGACAAGTGATCCAGAGCACGCGGGCGCTCTGGAGCCCGAGCGCCTGAACTCTCTGCGCAGGCCCCAGCGATGCCTCTGGGCCCGAGGACCTGGACGCTCTGCGCAGGCCCCAGCGATGCCTCTGAGCCCGAGGACCTGGACGCTCCGCGCAGGCCCCAGCGATGCCTCTGAGCCCGAGCGCCTGGACGCTCTGAGCAGGCCCCAGCGATGCCTCTGAGCCCGAGCGCCTGGACGCTCTGGCGCTCTGAGCCCAGCAGATTAAGACGGGGCTTGCTAGCAGGGGCCAAGCGGCCTCATCAAGGGCCCCGTGCTCGCGCGGGAATAAGGCGACAGCGTACGTAGGAAGGCGCAGGGCGACGCGCTGCCCATTTTAGGGGTCACTCACAGGAAGCGAGCCCAGTGGCCTCCACATGGGCCCAGCGCTCCAGGGAACTAGGCCATTGGCACCGCGGGTCTCTTGGGCCACGTTGGCCCCTGAAGCCCCACTGTGTTCTGCAAGGGGCTAAGTGCGCCAGCTCCAGTTGCCCCCCTGCTGCTCCTCGCCTTGGAAGATCGAGGTTCAACGTTCCGAATAAATGCAACGATTTCGAAGATCGTTTCTTCCAGCGTCAGCCACAGTGCCAGCGCAGCAACGCAGGTATCCTGCTCGGGCAGCAGCCTCAGCCACCGTGCCAGCGCAGCAGCATGAGCCACCGCGACAGCGCATCACCGCCACCTTTGTGCCTGCTACCACCACGCTTGCCGCTGCAGCCCCGCAACCTCCACAATTCCGACTGACCCCCCGCTACTACCGCAAATCCCATTGCAGCCCGGCTACCACCACAGTTCCCACCGTTGCCTGGCGACCACCACAGTTGCCACCGCAGCTTCCCAACGCCATGCAGTTCCCATTGTAGCCCCCGCTACCACCGCATCTCCCACTACAGCTTTCCACTGCCATGCAGCTCCAGTCTTGGACGGGGTCATGGTTTATTCGTATGCCCTGCGCAACTAGCCTTCGCCCGCCAGGAAAAAAAGGCAGAGCAAGCAATGGCAGAACTGACCGACAGAGCTTAGAGAGCAGGTCAAAGCTCGAATCCGCCCACCAGCACGCAACATGCCATAGCGCACCAGGTCGCCGCATCGCCAACTCGCGCGCAGTGCTTCTTCGTGCGCGATGGGCAACTTTACAACCAACATGCCTCAAAGAGCCCAAAGCCACCCTTGCGCTTGCCCACGGGGATTTCAGGGAAAGGCACGCGTGCATTCAATATGTGTTTTTACTTGCCTGGTTGTAAAGTGCCCTTCCTGGTTGCGAAGTGCCCTTCTCGGATTTTGTAAGCTGGTTGCAAAGTGACCCATCTGGTTGTAAAGTGCGCTTCTGGTTGTAAAGTGACCCACGCGCGGTGGCGCCCCGCCCCCCCCCCCCCCCCCCTCCAAGTTTCACAGCCGCCGGAGTCCGCCCGATGGGCGCCCTCGAATACTTGCGGGCTTTACCTCCACCGTTCTCCACCACTTCCTTGACCCATTCCCTCAGCTCAAGGCTGGCGGCGAAACGGCTAGACCCCCCCCCCCCCTTGAACTCCACTAATTCAGCGGCTGAGCAAGCAAAAACAACATCCGGAAAGGCAGGCCTCCACCCTATCCAGCGCGGGTCTCTCCTGAGGCCAGGAGGTCCATTCAAAAGCATGGCGACCAGTCTTCGCGACTCAAGCCCTTCCCGGGCCGAATCGCGGTTCCAAAGGCGCACCGGCTCGCGGGGCCAGATAGCGACCTTGCGCCGCGCCCAAGCTCAAGGACAAGGACACGCACCACCCGACGTTCTCAAGGTTGGGACCTGCTTGAGTCGCCTCTGCTGGTTACGACCGAACTACTCAGACCCGTCAACTCGGTAAATCCCCCCAGGCTCATGCTCCAATTTGGTGAGGAACTCTCCGAAACAACAATCAAGATCCAGCCCAGCGCCCCCTTTCCCCACCCACCCACCCCACACCACCACCACCACCACCGTCACCACCACCACCACCACCACCACCACCACCACCACCACCCCACCCCACCCCACCCCACCCCACCCCGCCCACCCACCCACCCACCACCCACACAACTCAGAGCAGTCGGGCGGGGCAGGAGGGGGCCCAAGGGGAACCGAAAGAGGGAAAGCCCGCGGCCGCGGCAAGATCCAAACCTGATCGATCCGCGGGCCCCCGCTCAGGGTAGCACTGAAGGGCCAGCGGGGGCCGGCGGTCGCACTCACACTACGACCAACCTTGGAAAAGGAGGGCGCCAGCGCAGCCGAGCAGACGAAGAAATCGATTGTCTTCCATATCTGCGCCGTCGAGCGACACGCGACAACAGGGGGCGCCGCGATCTGTCCTCCAAGGCGCTCCACCCACCCAGCTTCTCTGAGGGTTTGGGGATCGCAATCCCAGCCCCCCCCCCCCCCCCCCCCCTCAAGGGCGAAGGGGATCCCCGAGCCATGCAAAGCACCCCCCAACCTGGAGAGGAGGTGCCCCCCAGCCTCTCCCAGGGGGCCCCCCTGGGGGAGGCACAAGCCCCCGAAGATGAAGCCCCCTGGGACGAACGCGTTAACCCAAGACAAGCGGCACCTGCGGGGGGCAGGAAGGGGCCTGCTCAGAGGGGGCGGGAAAGCCCACGCCCAATGCGACGACTGACTGCTATTCCAACGCCACAGGACAGTCCTCCCAGGTCGGTGACCACGGAGGGGCCGAGGATGCACTGCCAGCCCTGCTTGCGCATCGCGGCCTCTACCTTGGCCGTCTCGACCTCCTTCATGGTGAACTCTTGGAGGCAGATGATCGAGGCACTGGTCTCTGCCCCCAGATATCGCCTGAAGGGTGCGAACGAGGTACAGTTGCATGTCTCGATCTGGATCGCTTTGCGCCTGCCCTCGCCGCCGGCCCCGGAAGCAGTTCTGGCCGCGCGATCGGGGAAGCGGGCGGGTCTTCAATCGCGACCACGGGCGCCCGCGAAAAAAAATGCGGGCCGACCGACGCGGCCGGCACTGCAGACAGAGCGGGTAAACGCGTTAGCTGTCTGGTCTGGGCCCTGCCCCAAACCAGACTCAGTTCCCGGCGGTGCCGAAGCCGACGAAGCCGCGCCACCGCGCACAATGTCATCTTGTGGCGCGCTGCACCGCCCCCCCGGCGATCCCCAGACCCAGGTTGCCGCTCGGGGGGGCCCAAGCCTAGGACTAGGCTCTTCCGAAAGACGCGCCCGGGGCTGGGGCGGAGGGCGCGGCGCCCGTCGACGAGGCAACCGCCGATGACAAGCCCGCCGATCCACAAGAAGCCGCCGATTTCGATGCTGCCGTAGCCCTCCGAGTCCGACGCCAATCGATCCTCGTCGGCGGCGGCGGCGGGGCCGTCGAGTCCCAGAAGTAGTCGGAGAGAAATTAATGATCTCCCTCATCCACGTCTATGATATTACTTTTCTCCCCCCCCCCCCCTGCGGCGGCTGCGATCGGTCGCGAGGGGGCCGACGCCGCTCTGGTTCCACAGGGGGGCCTCGGGGCTGCGACTGGCCCTGTGCTTCTCCGTCAAGAGCTCGGGCAGTCCTGGAGCGGATGTCCTCGCTGTCGGCGCTGCCCTTGGCCCTCGCTGCTGGCTGCTGGCGCGCCGCCCTTGGCTGCCGCGGCTGCCCAGGTGCTTTCCCCGGCTTCACCTGCAGGCTGGCGTTCAGGGGCGCCCTCAGCGCCAGCGCTGCTAGCACCTTCGGCTGCTGCCGCGTCTGCAGGAGGTTCAGCGCGCCCACGTTTGCGAGCGAGCCGTTGCACATGCGCCGCGCGATCCGCCTTGACCTTCTCAACCTCGACCATGGCGTCGCGGAGCATGTCCTTGGTAGCTGTCTGCATCTGTAGCCGCAACTGGTCCTTGCGCTCCTCCAGCGCGACGTCGGCGAGGGGGGCCTTTGACACTTGTAGCTGCTTGCCACCTTCAGCACCCTTGCCAATCTTATCTGCAAGCTCGGAGACAATGAGAGCGCACTCTCCGTCTGCTTCTGCAAGCGCCAGCTCGAGTTTCTTGACACCTTCTGTCCGAATGCGGACCCAACTCTGGCACGTGTCAAGCTTCCCGACCTCCACGCCCAGCGCCTCCTCCAGCTGCTTGATGCGGGCGCGGCAGACCTGGGCTCGCTCCTGGATGGTGAGGTTGGGTCCCTTGCGGGGCTCAGCCAGCTGTGCAGTGTCTTTGTCCCCAGCGCAATGCCGTTCTCGAGCTCATCCTCAGAGGGCCCCGCGCTCCCAGGAACAGGCAAACGTCCTGCTGGTGCAGGCTGGAGGTCGGTCCGCTGACGCCCTGCCCCACGGGATTGCCACCGAGCGCTGCGACCGCCAGGACCAGGGAGAGCCAGGAGCGCGCGTGCCTCAGGGTCCGTTGGGGCTTCGACTTTCCACTCCTGGCAGTGCATGCAATGCTCGCACGACGAGGCCAGGTTCTTCTTGCACCCGCAGAAGGCGCACACCAACTTGGGGCCAGCGTCTGCGCCTTTGCTTCCGCCCCGTGATGCCGAACGCCGAGGAGGTATGGCTCCATGCCCTCGGTCCTGGCCATTGTCCCACCAGGGAGGTCCTTCCCCACCTCCTGCTTTACGCCAAGGCGGCCCCATGGCGTGAGCAAGCGAAGAATGGCTGCCGTTATCTTCTGGTGCCGTCTGAAACGGTCCACCTCAGTATACGGAATATGAATGTGGCAGCGCACGCTGCGATATGGAATATGAAGGTCTACTTCCAAGGCTATGCCGCCTACCTGGGAGCAGCCCGAGGGCACAGCGGGTTGACTTAACCACCTTGAGGATATGGATTGCTTGAGCAAACATGGTTTGAGCCAAATTGGCTACGGACTCCTCCTGCTCCTCATCATCATCATCCTCCTCCTGCTCCTGCTCCTGCTCCTCCGTGTCCTCCTCCTCTCCTCTCTCCTCCTCCCTTCGTCCTCCTCCTCCTCCTCCTCTTCCTCCTCCTCCTCCTCCTCCTCCCTCCTCCTCCCTCCTCCTCCTCCTCCTCCTCCTCCTCTTCCTCCTCCTCCTCCTCCTCCTCCTCCTCCTCCTCCTCCTCCTCCTCTCTCTTCCTCCTCCACCCTCCTCCTCCACCCTCCACCCTCCACCTCATCCACCCTCCACCCTCCTCCTCCTC